GGTGAAGTGAGGAAAATTCGTGTAAAGTGCCTTTCCCAAGGACACAACGTCGGACTCTTGACGGGATTCGAACCCACGACCTTACGGTTGCGAGTCCGAGAGCCTAACCACTAGGCCACCGACGCCACATACGTAGATACATTGGTTGCTTGGTTATCAGGTAGGAAACTGAAGGATACTTCATTGGATGAATGAGAGAATAAATAGATAAAACCATGGATGGATGGAAGGTTGGATGAATGGATGGATGGGTGGATGGATGGATGGATGGTTGGATGGATGGATAGATGGATGGGCAGAAATGTATAAAGTAAGCAACGCCCATCGTCAAAGACAGTATGCTCACCCTCCCGTTTAACCGTTTTTCTCATCAGGATCGTGTTGACATGGAGAAGAAGACTGTCGCAGCCCTCGCCAAACTTGACGGTGAGCTTAAGGGCAGCTACCACCCTCTGACTGGCATGAGCAAGGAAACCCAGACACAGCTCACTGAAGACCATTTCCTCTTCAACAACAGTGACAGGTGAGTTTAGAGAGTCATTTGATAGCTCAATTCATGAGCAGGAGAATGAGGAGGCGAAGAAGGAGAAGATTTTAAAAAAGAATATTTTTTTGGGTGACAGTTTTACGACGCTGGCAACTGAATATGATCATGTGAGGGCGCAATACACATTGAGTATTTTCAGTTTGGTGGGGATTAATTTGCGACTACTCTTACCGATTTTGGACGACCAAGGAATCTTTAACGTGCGCAGTGTGCACACGAGACTTCCATTTTTTCCCCCGTATCCCAGAAGGCTAGGTGTTAGAACTTACCTACCCTAAGGTTAGGAATGTGGCTGAAAGACAGCAGCAAGAAGGAGCCATGGAGTAGCAGTAGAAAGGCTGCAGAAAGAGTCAGGAGCCCAGAGAAAGGGGAAATAGGGGCGGGGGGAGGGTGCAGATAGTGGACACGACAGTAGACGACAGAACATGGTTAGAGAGCAGGAAAGTATGTGAAAAGAGAGGTTTTTTCCGTCGCTGTCAGGTTTCGAGTCCCGGAACCTGTAGAATGAGAAGCAAGCACCATAACCTCTAGACCATGAAAGCCCCCGAACAGAAGAATGAATTAATGGTTGATGATAGATGTATAAAAGTGTGAATCATGAAGATGATAAAATCTATCTGTCTATCTGTTTTATCTATCTATCTATCTATCAGATTCTTGGAAGCTGCCGGCGGCTACAAAGACTGGCCCACTGGACGTGGAATCTACTTCAACGACAACAAAACTTTCCTGGTCTGGGTGAACGAGGAGGACCATCTGCGTTTCATCTCTATGCAAAAGGGAGGCAACCTGAAGGAAGTCTACGTCAGACTGGTCAAGGTAACTGCTGCTCGCATTTGCTCATCGCTGTCTCAGGCAATCTGGTTGACAACATTCCTCCACCTCCTAGTGCTTTGCAGTAGACAGAACAATTATTCACTTTCTATGTGTTTCTCTTTTTTTATAAGTTATGTTATTGCGCTGTCGGCCGTTCGAAGAATTGGGAAGAACTACTAATGATATAACTTTCATCTACGCAATATATCTCAGGAATCCATATGACAGCCTATTGAGGGGTGGAAGAATCTGCAAATGTCAGAAGATTGAAAAGGACTACTATAAGATAAAAAAACGTATTGAATTTGTTTTTTGAAATTAGTTGGGATCTTTTTTTTTCAAAAGCTTCCCCTACAATTCAAAGCAACAAATAAATAAACAAATATTGCATACATTTGAGAAGAAGAAGAAGAAGAAGAAGAAGAAGAAGAAGAAGAAGAAGAAGAAGAAGAACAACAACAACAACAACAACAACAACAACAACAACAACAACAACAACAAAAGCAACAACAACAACAACAACAACAACAACAACAACAACAACAACAACATCAATAACAACAACAACACTAGAAGTTCAACAATAAACTAACCATGTCTTCCACCCACCCCTCACTCAGGCTATCCGTGCTCTGGAGACCAGTGGTCTGTCGTTCGCCAAGCGCGATGGTCTCGGCTACCTCACCTTCTGCCCATCCAACCTGGGCACCACCCTGCGTGCCTCAGTGCACATCAAGATCCCCAAGCTGGCTGCCACCCCAGACTTCAAGGCTTTCTGCGACAAGCTGAACATCCAAGCCAGAGGTAACATTTAATTCCATTGACTGATTGTATATGCCTCTGGTTTAAATGAAATGTGATACTCACAACCAGTAGTGACTGTGGGTTTATTCATAGCGCTGGATATGCTCATCGTGGTACTGAAATGTCAAAACTCACATAAAAAAGCGCACAAGATAATGGAAAACACAGGAGGTCCAACTAAGCACGCAAGTTTAACAGTGAATTATGGGACTCGTTCTCAGAGTGGCTTGTGGATAGAGTTTCCCAGGATTGGTCGTTAAAAATGTTCAGTATCTTCGTTGGCACAAGACATTTTCTATCTTCACCCCGCTCACTTTCTTCGCAGACAGCTTTTTCCTTGACGATTAAGAGATCACAAACATATTATGGAAAACAAACCAAAAACTAAGAATTTTTTAAAAAGCAACACTCATTACCCGCTGTAAATCTTACCTATCTTACTTCAACATTTTATTCAACCTTGTTACTAGTTTCAATATTGCAATTCGCTACCTAGCTGTTTGGTACGGTGCGGGTTAATGTGTAGACACGAAACTCAACACACTAGCACATTCTGAGACATGTAATTCCAGCTACACCTCTCGGTAAATGAACGATGCATAGTTCTTGCTTTATGTGCACATTATATGGCAACCATTGTCTTTATTCTGTGTCTAGTCGACGTTTTTCGAATGTACGTTCACAACAATAACCATTTTAGTGAATGGAGATATTATGGTCAAATTCCTCCGATATGTGGCACAGGTGCACGAAAGAAGAGGGAAGTGAAAGAGTCTTGCTGATAAACGTTAACTAGTATATTTTTGTCACTGTTCTCTCTTTAGTACGTTTCTTTTCAGAGCCGGTTGTGGTCTCGGTCTTACTTTCTTCAGCACTCGGTGACTTGTTTCCGATGCTTTTGAGCACTGCAACACCGTTCCTTTTAAATATACATACGTATATGATCAAATCTGAAACCTGTAAACTTTGTTCTCCCTCAGTTGTATCCGTCTTTTTGACTCGAACTTTTCAAGTAGTAAATAAGCCTTGTCGTTAGCATGTGATTTTGTTTATCCTGACTGGAGTAGAGCGTGTATATAAGTGTGTATTGTGTGTTCCAGGCATCCACGGAGAGCACACCGAGTCTGTCGGCGGCGTCTACGACATCTCCAACAAGAGGAGGCTGGGACTCACTGAGATCCAGGCCATCGAAGAGATGCGCAAGGGCGTGGAGGCTGTCATCGCCGAGGAGAAGAAGCTTGCCGGAAAGTAGAGCTCCTCACGCCCTTCCTCCTCCTGTTTTGGGTCTCTATTTCCTTACCAACGACCTTTCCATCCCTTTACCCCCCCCCCCCCCCCCCTACACCCTTCTCTCTCTCTCCCTCTATCTCATTCTCGCTCTCCCCCCCCCCCAACCCTCAATCGTACCGTCAGAGCTTAGTGCACGCCACAACACGACTTGTACATAGTAATTGGTTTAGCCGCTGAGACAACACGCCAGTGGTCTATATAGCTCCTTGACTGCTTCGGGCCCCTTAATCAGTGGCCTTTTCGTCACTCGACAGAATTTTGACAAATTTATTCTGTCCTGTGATTAGAAAAAGACCAGGTTTTGAAGCAGCCAAAACATAAGTTATTATAAATCTGTTTCATTTTCTCGAATTCTTACAAGATGTGTGACTGAAAAACAAAAAAGAAAAAAAAATATGACAAAAAATCCACAGTGCACGGCAGCTCGGTTTGGGCAGTGTTTTTGCTGTGATTGGTTCAGTAGCACTCTCTAGACTTTCTTGGTGCTAGAGTAGAGGTGCGGTCAGAGTTCACACCATTTGCTAGTGGTCGTGGATTCCCCGACCCCTACCCTACCCAGTCCCTCTCACCTTTTAGAGTGAGAAAGGTCACGGGAGTTAAGTTACTCGCTAACAGCATCGTCAGTGCGCGACCAGGCCTGGGCTGTTTGCGACGTGCGTTGAAACTATTATTATTTTTGTAAATCTCAATATAGAATAACAAATTTTTATTCAAAATCTGTTGTTCTTGTCTTGACATTCATCAAGAAAACACAATATGAGACATATCTGATGTGATAAAAAGAATGTGTGATATGTTTACTTTTAGACTAGTTCAGTATTTCATGTAGAACTGCATTCATGGTGGTAACAACAACATTGACTTTTGAAATGTCTTAGATTTCACTGTGAATGACAAAGAATGATTTTGGGACACATGAAGCCACGAGTATAGTGGAACAAGTGAAACGAGCATTCTTGAAAAAGGCATCTTGATACTTAAGCGGTGACACTTACGATTCCCAAAGCCAAAAATTGGTAATCGGAAGGTAACGACAAGTTGTGTATGTTAACAACAGATTATTTTTTTTAAAAACCCTTCTTTTTGTCACAGTTCCTGTGATACGAGAGAATGAGAAAGAAAGAAACAACACCAAAGTGAAATGTGTACCCTCTGTGCCACCCGAAATGATTAATGAAAACGATCAATAAAAACATGTTTGAAATAATCAATGTTGTTTATTTAATCGTATTTTGACTGCAAATCTTTGATGTTTGGTCTATTTCAGGAGCTTTTAAGAAAAGAAAACATTTTTCCTATTAGATGTAGATCTAGTTTTGGGTTACGAAAAGCTTTTTTACTAGATCTAGGCAGAATTACTGAACCAAGGGGGATAAACTCTGTTGTCTATTGGGGTCTTTTTGAATGTTACATGGTTTTTATCTAGTAATTTGACCTCTATTTCGCGTCTTGTTGTGTTGCGGGTTTGTTTTTGTTTTGTTTTTTGTTGACCTTACTTGTCTAGGGTTGGGGCATTTCTGAAGGCGAAGATTGGTCCTTCACCTACAGGAAACAGTAATGATGCTTGACAGTGACATGTGACAAAAAGGGCACATCCCGAACTTCTGCAAGCCAAAAACTGGAACACACTATACCAAAGACGACGATTCATGTTTGAGAGTCTACAGATGGGGGGAAACAGGTACCGATCCATGGGAAATCTATTTCCCTTGATTTTGATCTGTTGTGTTGATTTTTCCTCCAACATCCGCTAGTTTGAGACTTAAGAATTTCCTTGACTGGAAACAAGATTACTGACCCAAGGGAGCTAATTTTTCTCTAAAGTAAGACAACAGCTCAGAGAACTGAAAAAGTATTTCTTTTATTTATAAACGTTTTGATGCTGCTATTGTTGTATTATTTTCATTTTAGTTGGAAAGGAGGGGCCACGTGTAGTTTTACTTAAACGCATACTGCGCCTTCAAAAAATAATACTTTTAATCTCAAGAACTTGACGGAGAACAAGGACCCTTTGGTGTCAAACAGTTGTCAGTGTTGGTTATTGGGTTTGATATTAACTTTTAGCTCTACTTGACATTGAATTATTCCAAGTCTTGACCACTCTGTCATCAATAGGTTTTTTTTTACCCTGAAAGAATACAATAAGGAACATTTAAAATGCACTTAGACGCCAAACGATAAACTTAGGCGTGTAGGTCAAATTCGTGATCAGCTAGATAAAACCCGTTCTGTATCTAATCTTTTTAAGCGTATTTTGACAATTTAAAATTTGAAAGTTTAGAAGTTCCTTAACTGCAGAGACTTCAGACGACAAACTATGCAGAACGAGTATCGGGTTTTAAAAAATAATAAAAAGAAAAACCATGCGACTACTAGATGGTCGACACATGCAGCCTAGCTTCTAATCTCAGCTTCTTTCAATCTGATTTCACTTAAAGTTTACCCAGAGCTGTGGTGTAACTAATTAGTTGCTACATGTTTTTTCCCTGCACATGGTAATCGCCAAAGAGAGACTTAGCTGAAACAAGACTGGCCACCGTTTGTCTCTAGTCTCTACTACAAAGAAATGCCGTTTCGAAAAGACTTTTAAAATCGTTTGTCTTTGAGTGGAAGTCATACTATGATTATGTTTCATTAACTGAAATGTTAATGAAAAAGTACGATCGTATGATATTGGTGTAAAATCCCTTTTAGTCCCTATAAACAGGCGTCAACCTTCAAATTAAACCATAGGATCAAGAAAATTCGACGAAGAGCCTTTGAAAGACCTCTAATAGAGTGTCCATCTGGAGAATGGAACGAGATTCATTATAAATCCACCACGGCACAGCGTGAGGCCACCTGACCTAACGGTGCGCAAAAAAGGAACTGTGTATCTTGCCATCATTCTGAATTATTCTCATCCCACTCTCCACTAAGATGAAGAAAATGGCACGTTGTTTTGGTAGTACAACAACATCAGTTTGTTTTGCTTAGTTTGTCGTGTGAAGTCCTCACAGATTATTTGAATCTTTCTGGAATTCCTTGTCTGAATACCCTGAATAGACGAGAGAGAAATAAAGACAGGACAGACTTATGAATACTTCACTGGCAGAAATTAACAGTAAACTGTCGACTGGTTGTGGGACACCAAATACATACACATGATGAAATAATCAATGTTGGTTTCTTTAAGCGTATTTTGTTTTGTTTTGTTTGTTTTTGTATAGTGTTTTACGGCGCTCGCAACTGCATAGGTCATATGAGCGCGCGGGACACAC